GAAGCGCCGCGACGCGGCGGAGCGCGGCGCGCGCGAGGACGCGGGGGCCGTCGCCGCGCTCTTCGGGTAAACGCCGCGTGTTTTTTAGGACGCGAAGGCCGCGGCGAGCGCGTCCGCGGCGGGCACGAGCGGCACGCGGAGGAGCGCCGCGAACGCCGAGGAGTCGAGCGGCGCGCGGAGCGGCGCCGCGGAGGGCGGCCGCGGCGCCGCGCGGACGAGGCCCGCGTCGAGGCCGAGCGTGTTGGCGACGGCCCGGCCGAGGGCATAGCGGCTCAGGCAGTCCGGCCCGCCGCAGTTGACGTGGAGGAAGACCGCGGGGTGCAGCGCGCGCGCCTTCGCGTGGAAGCGCGCGGTCTCCGCGGGCGAGTGGGCCGCCGCGGCGAGCGCGCGCGCGTCCGACGCGTCGCAGGGCTGGCGCGACACGCCGTAGAGGCGCGCCGCCGCGGCGACGCCGTCGCAGACCTGGCGCACGTCCACGAAGTTCCGCGCCTCGTCGGACCAGAGCGTCACGGGTTCGCCCCTCCGGAGCTCGCCCGCGACCCACTGGGCGAACTTGCCGTCGCCCGTGAACGGCGCCGGCGCCCCGACGACGTTGGACAACCGGAACACGACGGCGCGCTGCCAGCCCGCGGCGAGCGCGGCCTCGAAGGCGAGCTTCGTGCGCCCGTACGCCGTCGCGGGCCTCGCCGCCGCCGCGAGCGCCGCGGCCCGCGGCGCGGACGCGCCGCCGTCGCCGTAGGCCGGCGCGCCGTCGTCGTCCACGCCCGCGAGCACGAGGTCCGTGGAGCAGTGGACGAGCAGCGCGTCCGGGCAGCACGCGTGGAGGCACTCCAGGAAGCCGAGCGGGCAGTTCGTCGCGGCCGCGCGCGCCTCGTCCGCCTCGCAGGCCGCCGGCGACGCCAGGGCCGCGCAGTTCACGACGACGTCGGGCCGCTGGGCCCAGAGCGCCGCCGCGCAGGACTCGGCGTCGAGCAGGTCGAGCGCGCAGCTGTCGACGCCCGGGGGCGCCGCGAAGGGCGCCGCCGCGCGCCGGTGCGTGTAGCAGACGGCGAACTCGCCCGTCGCCGACAGCGACGCGACGAGGTGCTGCGCGACGTAGCCCGAGCCGACGACGAGCACGCGCTTCTGGCCCATTGCGGTTGTAGCAGCGCGCGGCGTGCGACGGATTGCGGCTGTGAAGCAGTGCGCGCGCGTGCGACGGCGCTGTGGTATTTGGTTCCCAGCGGCGCGCAAGTGAACAGCTGAGGTTGAAGTCGGAGGTGCACGGGCCTACTTTTCTACTGCGCGCGGAGCCTCGTCCTAGGAATTACCCGATCTCCACGGGCAGCGCGCCGCCGAGCGCGCGGTCGTCGAAGGCGCGGTCGAGGATCGCCCGGGCCTCGACGGCGGTCATGCCCTCGGCGAGCTTCTTGCCCGCGCCGCCCGCGTTCGTCGGGCTCGCCGCGCGGCTCCCCGCCGGCGAGCCCTCGCGGCTCCGCGGCCGCTTCTTGTCCGCGTCGTTCGCGCGGCTCTCGACGTCGACGCGCCGCGTCCGCGTCGCGTTGACCGTGAGCCAGCGCTGCTTCTGCGGCTCCGTGAGGTAGTTGAGCTTGAGCGTCGACGTCTTCGTCTTCATGACGCCGCGGTACGTGATCGCGTGGTTCTGCAGGACGTAGACGAGGAGGAGCGCGACGCGGTCGTGGAGCGGCCGCGTGCGGTCGTCCTCGAGGCAGGCGCGGATCTTCGCGATGGCTCGCCGCCCGC